GGCCAAGAGCCATAGAGCCCGGCTTGGCTTGGCTTTCAAATTACGACAAACTGGGGCCTGGGAAATTGTCAGCGACACTCGCTGGGTTTTCCACACCCCTTTTCCCCCTTTCGCCCCTTTCCCGCAGAAGGTCCGCCCCAGAAGTTGGCAGTTCAAAATGCTAATCACCACATGACATTCATTGTCTGCGAAACAATTGGACTCCCTAACTAACACGCCTCGCCCATCATTATGAATCGCATTATGTGGCCGCTGATTCCGTGGCCTTCGACGGGGGCGGCTTGGGCGGCAATGGGTTAAGCAGCCCGTCAATATCACGCTGTGCAAATTGCAACACATCAATCGGGAACAGATTTCAATTTGCCCTGCTAAAATCCAATTACCCGTGGCGAAAATTTCCACTAGACCGCCAATAAACCACAGTTTAAAGGCCGAAATCGGGGGACATTCCTAGACTTAAGCTCAAAGAGCTTGATCTTTAATACTCGACATTGGTTTGGCTTTGAACAGAAAATAAAACCAAACCAAAAAACCAAAAATAATAAATAATTAGAGGCAATAGCACTTAAAAACAACTTAAGCGGGAACTTAAACTTAATATCCAGATACAAACCACAACGTATTTACACTACATCCAGTGGGAAAAAGTTAAAAGTTAAGCTGTGTTAAGTGGGATAACAAGTTCCTCGTCAATAGAAATCTGCTGCAAATCGAATTATTCTGGGTAATTAAACAGAGGAGGCGTGAACAAAAAGCACAAATTAAGGCAATGATGCGAGAGTTTTCCAATCAATGTCATTATTAAAGTACAACAAAAGCGTGCTAAATATTTAACAATGGTGCACGAATGGTTTAGAACGAATTTCTTCAGATAGATTGCACATTTCAAGACTATTGGCTACAAATTCCCTTGGATAGATTTTCGCTTACTGCAATAGTTATGTAAATGCAACTCTTGAAATTGAATAGAAAGCCTTTGGTAAAGTGACAAACACAAATCGCCTAAAATTGTCCGCAACCACAGGCCAAGGATCAATAATTGTCAGGACTTTAGCAACGAAATTGCAAAAGAGTCTCTTATCGCACGAGAGCGCACTTTTCATCCATTAATCCAAAACAAACTGCTAAATTCCTAATCGCAAAATATAAAAATGAAGTGGGAACCGCAAGCCGAAATGCAATTATTTTTGCCGTCCGTCCAAAACCCGGTATTTGCATATTGTCAACATAATTAAAGAGGCTTTTGACTTGTGGTTACACGCCCACTCGAACACACACGTGTACAGGCCGAATGAATGTGTATGAATATGTATGAACACGGAACACCCACTCGTTCATTCAGAAAACATTCAGCCGAGTGTCCTTGACTGATGCTGCTGAATACGAACACCGAGTGCACAGCACTGAATCCTGCAAATGCAAAATTGTTTTTGGCAAAGTGCACAATGCACTTGACGACTGTCAAAACGGACATGAGACGGGGACGGGGACGGGGACGGAGGTCGTCCTGCCCATGTCCATGTCCATGTCCTTGTTATTTATGTAAAATGTTGCACAACATTTATTGTCCACCACACAAATAAAATCGTCCTTAACTGAAAGAAAATGAGGACAATTGCAGCAACTGTTCCGGCAATTTTATATATTGAAACAATGCCGACCCGTCGTCCTTGCTGCTTGGGTCAGCCATAAAAATTTGTCCTGCGGTAAATGAAATGGATAGCAATTGCGATTGCGATTGCGATAACTGGCTGCCCAATGGTCAAGTCAGTAAGCGCGGATCTTTCCATTGCCCAAAGTCCATAGCCCATCGAAAAGTCACGATAAAAAAAGCAATGGGCCACCAAATACAAGTTATAGCCGGGTCGAGGTCACCACGGCTGGTGTCCTCTTTCCGTGCTTCTTACCCTGTAATCGCAGTCCTTGGGAGTCGGCCGTACTCAGTGCTTCGCCATTTACGAATGGCTCAATTCTTAGTAATCCATATGAGCTCTGCTGGTACATATAAAATAACAATGCACAATACCATTGATTCAGTTATTTTTATAATTAAAATGTGAAGCCTTACGTAAAATTGCATTTGTATGCCTTAAGTTTCAATCCTTAGGTGAGTTCTGCTCAAATAATCACTCATATATGCTGACTTCTACTCATTACCCCGTTGCTTAAGAGGTATCGCCTCATTCGTTACTTTTGCTTGGTCAATCGGTTTTCCGTTGTTTTTGTCTAAGAGACGATTTCGGTTTCAGTTTGCAACTTGTTGGCATTGCTTTTCGATTTCTGCACTTGTCGGCAAAGAGGGTTTTGTTTTTTAATATTGCACTTTTGTTGCGAGTTCTCCATACATTGTTGTTTCATTTTCGGAAAGTTTATCTGGCTCGGATTACTGGGTCAATTGGTTGGATGGCCTCCATTGAGGGAAATCAGCGCTCGGGATTGGGTGCAGGGGCTTGCCTAATTAACAAAGTCCTGAAAAGGAAAGTTAAGCCCACCCCCACCATGTACTATATCTGTTTCACTCGCTCGCTATCCCTGTCCCTGTCTCTGCTTTGTTCAACTGAACTTTGACCCGTGCATTGACATCGTTTTTGCGTAAACTACGGAACTGTGTCAGGTAATTGCGTTCAATAAGCAGGTCGAATTGGGAACTGGGACTGCGAAAGAGAAGGTGAGATTTGGTAAGAAAGAGTCGGATATATCAGTGGGAGATAGGGACAGCGAAAGAAAGAGAGAGAGCGAGACAAGCACACAAGCACACATGGCCTGAATGCCGTCGAGTGTCACTTGCATCCTGCATAATTGGTTTATCAATTGCGGTTGGCCCATTGAAATAACCAACTTGCATTTGTGCGTTTAACTCTAAGCACGTCTGCCAACCCCCTGAGTGCTCACCCTGCACCACCCATTTTATGCCCCATAAAACCAGTAAAATCCAAGATGACACCATGCACGCCCCGTACCCCCGAAAAAGCCACTTCTCCCCTGGACTTTCCCACTTTGACCGCACAAATTTGGAGCAAGGCAATGATTAATTTATGCGAAATCCGAAGCGAAATCGTGCGAAAGCCAAATTTGCTAGACACACACAATTTAAATGTGGAATGAAATGACACTGGAACTATCTGAACTCCTCTGCAAAAAAATCTGAACAAAGAACCGGAGGCAGAAACAATTGAAACAACTATAGCTAGACCCAAGTAAGTACTACCACTTTATTCCGAAATGAACAGAACCTCTAAATATGCATTGCTCATAAAACGAGAGATACATTTGTTAAATGTGCACATTTTTTAATCATTTTAAAAGCCTTTAGTTAAAAGATTTTACTAAGAAATCGCTACATTTCTATCCCAATCAAATTCATTTATTCCGCTTATCATTTAAATTCCAACTGTGCGTTCTATAAAACAGCTTGTAAGCTGTAGTTAGCCTAATGGTTTGTCAAGATAGGCAATATCGTACGCCCACATCTTGCTCAACCCATCAAGAATTGCATAACTCCGTCTCAAGGGGTCTTTATCCAATCGCATTCTCACCCAAGCCTATTCAGCCTCACTTAGCCGCACAAAGAGTCGCCATTCCAATTGGCATCTGCGATGGCAGCGATCTTTTTTACCAGCCCCTCAATTCAATGCTCCCTTGCTCTTCAAGCTGAATGCAATCAAGGTTTTTTTCGACTGGCCAAAAGTGCGCTTTCAGCCATGTGCTTTGGGGCGGACACTGGCCCTCTCTCCAACCAACATCCAACATCCAGCAGCCTCCATCTGCCTTCTCCGCGCTCAAAATCAACCCAATCCCCCGCCAGAATCACGGTCTGGCCACGATTATAAAGCCCGGGGCATAAATATTAGCAAAGGCGTTGCCGTTGACGTCGCTGCAGTCATTTAAATGTTGTCGGTCGTTGTGGTTGCAGATCCTCCAGAGCACTTCCTGCTGCTCCTCCTTCATACACCCCTCTTCCCTCCTGTTCCTGGTGATTATGCCTGTCAACGAAGTTTCACTTACACGGCAAGAAATCATTGGAAACAGATTGTCTTGTAAAAGCATAAGAACATTTTTCGATTTACGTTAACGGAAAAGATTTGCTTCAAATGTTTTTGAGGAACGCAGCTAGTTGTTAAGAAACACAGCGAGTAGAATCAACGAGTAAATAACACAACCATAACGAATTTCAAGCTTATTCAAGTACAGTCCCCTGTCGACAAATTTTTCCAATCAAAACTATACGGAACCTTTCTTCAAATTCATTTCAGTGAAATAATAAACGGAAATTTTTTCCGTGTAACGCAATACTTAACCCTTTGCCACCCCGAAAATTCAGCTCGGCGCACAATGAATTAAATGAATCTCAATTTCCGTTCGGTTTGCGGTTAAAAGCCGCAGTCGTCGTCTTGGTCTTCTGGGCAAAATGCAAATTCTCCGGCGGTGAAAATGAAAACAAGCCGAAAAATTCTCGTTGCAACAACAACAATGGCAACGGGAATTCTCCTCCTGCTCCCCTGACCTTTCACCCCTTCACTCGCCCGGGTGTCCTGGGTGTCCTGGGTGTTCCGGGTGTGCTGCATCAATTGCCTGGCTTCCATCTTCCACTCGCTTCTCAAGTTTCTTCCCGTAAATTGCTGCAAGATGCCCCCGAAAAAACCGATGCCGGGAGCAAGGATTTCTGGCCCCAAAACTTTTGTGCCGGGAAAACTTTTACAACTGCACCAGAACGATGATGAGATTGGGAGAAACTGAGGGGGCCATGAAGGAGCTGGAGGATTCGGGAGAAGCAGCGAGCCAGGCCAAATCGTTGGGTCGCCGTCTGCAAAAGTTTTGCGATTTGTTTGCGCGAAATAAACGCGACGCAGATAATTTGCGCAAAAGTTCGCTTGCTGCCCGCCGACTTCGCGGAAGCCAGCCTGAAATCCCAGGAACCGAGACCCAAGACCAATCCCCCATCCCCCATCTCCCAAAACCCATTCCCATTTCATATTGTCCAACAATTTCATTTGGGAATATGTATTTCTGGTATGTCCAAATAAACCAACCGAAATGAAAATGTTTCGCGTTCGCTTCAAACTTGTGCAAAGAAGTTTTTTGTTCCGAAATGCCAGAGTCGTTGATTACTGAATCCATTATCCATATCAGGATTTCCAAAGGAACCTTCGATTGAATATCACGTTTATTTCTCAGCCTATACACTGTAAGTCTTAGTTGATCCCTTTTAGGTTCCTCTCGTTACTATTTGACATTGCTGGATACTTTGTTGAGGAATTTGTTACTCGATCTAATTTGAACGATGCTTTGCTTAATGTGAAATTTGCATGTCTGAAAGTAAATATATTTAACAATTTAAGGCTTCTTGGTAGCAACCTACACAAGTCCATTCACTACATTTGGCAAAAAAAATTAGTTTAGTCCATTCAATTCACGGATAAATTAATCTTGAGACTTAAAGGAAGTCTGAGCCGCAAACCACTTCTGAAAGGTATATTCATGTCCACTCGTCACTAATCATTAAACACTCGCCACTCGTTGGTCGTCTAAAAGTGGGTATTTTTTTGCCGAGGATGCGATTTTGGCTTCGAAGCGGCAGACATAATTTGGAACTCTTTGGTGGAGATAAAGTCGATGATGGGCAGTCGACTGGACAGCGGAACCACCACATCATTGGCGAACGCACCGATGCCGGCGACTCTACCGACTAGGGATGACAGACCAGAAGGATGGGTTCTCGCTGGTCCCTGCAAATCGCTGTCACGCATTCTAGTTCCTTCTCCAGCTGCCAATCTTGCCCCAAATTCCGCTTCACCTCGTTTTCGCACTTGTTGATCCCTCCTTGGCGACGGCGAGTCAACTTTCTTAACGCCGAGATTGCAGAAAAAGTTCACACCGTCGGTAGCCCTAGTCTCGTCTTTTATCATCCTTCGGGACTCGATCCGTCTTTTCAACCGGGTTACTTGATTTTTATCGCTTGCTGCCGCTGAGGGCTTCATATGCTTGGCCGTCTTGGATCCTTGGACCCTTGAATCCTTGTCCAGAAACAGCACCGAAGTACCGCCGGCCGACCTCTGGGGTCGGGCATCTATGAGTTTGGTCCTGCGGGACATGCCCAGGGATTGCAGGGCGTCCAGCGGCTGAGGATGCGACTTCTTGACGGTCACACGCGGCCGTTTCACCGGCCTTACCTTGGCCAAGCCCAAAACTGTGGGTTGCAGGGCGGCTCGCATCAGCGGAGATCGTCTAAGGGGTTTCTTGAGAGGGTTCTTAAGGGACTTCTTCACGGACTTCTGCAGCACTTTCGACTTGGTATTGCCAGCACTTTTGACTTTGGGCCGTGGCTGTCTTGTGCTAAGCGGCATTGCAACCGCTTTCCTTGGCGATCTTTGCTTGGACTTGGGCATAATTTCAGTACTTTGGCTAGGCAAATCTCAAACTCTTCTTCGATCCGTCGCTCTCAGTTCGTACTAACAATTTTGATGTGGTATCGGGCGGGGCTTATTTCGAAATCGAATGTCTCGGCTTGACGTGTTAACAACGACTGGGGGGGCAAACGGAATTCGTAGTGCCTACTTGTCCAGCTCATCTGTGCCGCCCGAACTTGAGCACGTTCCGCCTCCTGTTTCCTGTCACCTCTTGACTTGGCCTCTGCTTGTTTGTTTGTCCTGAGTCAACTGCTATTTGTTTTCCCCGACGCTTTTCTTGTTCACCTTTTTTTCTTTTTGCCTTTCCCTAAAACCTTTGTCATTCCCTCGGGCAGCAGAAACTTGAAATCAACTTCCGTTTTGTGGCCCTGGATTTGCATGTATACAGCGGCAAAATAAGATTACATTTAGAATCGAAAAATAAAATATATAGTTCTGGTTACTACATCCCCAATTATCAAACGATGTATTCTCTGAATAGTGACTTATGTAGTTTTGTGATTTAAAATTTTCTTTAGAATGCGCCCCTATTGATTTTCCCCCATCAACTCATTAATAAACTAACTCGTTCGTCTTTGCCCCCCTTTTTCCTCCATTTCCTTGGCTTTCTGTTTTAGTTTTCTTCTTTTGCCCATTTTGGTGTCAAGTGTTGCGTATCATTTAATGTGACACACTTAGCCGGAAAATGCGGGGAAAACAGGGGAGGGGCTTTTCCCGACTGACAGCTGAGCACATGTTGGCTGAATGCTAATTTGCTGTGCTAAGCGGATGACAAAAAACCGGAATGGGACCTCAGACCGACGGGTTAATGCACTAGCCGAGAAAGGGGAGAAACGAATTAATTGGGAACGAATAACTTGGATGAATAACTATCAACCACGTTTTTCTATATCATACACATGTACTACGTTCATATCAGCATTTTGAAACTTCAACTGAGAACGGGTAATATTCAGTTGGGGGACATTACTCAGCTCTCAGGAACAGGAACCCATATACAACACACACACGCACTTGAGCAGCTGGCAGGACAGGAAATCAACAGGACACCACCACACACACACACAGACACGGACAGCTGTTGTAGGGACTTCCGTTCTCGGTCAGCTTTGATATATGATCAGAAATCAAGTCATGGGCCAGCCCCAATATAACTAGATACATTTGTACAGACGAGTATGTATGTGGACTGCGTCTGGGGACGAGTAAATTACAAACTGAAGCAATCAGCTTATGCCCGTCTTGGTTGTATGTTTATTTCCTCCTTCTCGTCTCTTTGTCTTGATAGCAGTCATGAATATCATCACGTTTCTTTGGCTGCACACAATAGAGTATGGGCAATATCACGTATACGTCGCATTGGCCAACGAGTGTCCGCTAAATCTGCCTGCATCTCCATTTCGCACTGCTTGTATGCCGCGCCCCGCCTTAAGATTCAATTTTGAAAATGATTCTAGCTTAACACCTCAATAAGTTCGCCGAATGTCAGTTGCAGCCGCCGCAGACTGGGAACATGCAACATGCAATCTGCAACCTGCAACCTGCAACACCAGCAGCAAAATGTTGTTTTCCGCTTAAGCACATCGCTGGAGAAATAAAAAAGGTGGAAACAAATAACCCCGGGAAGAGCCCACTCCACTCCACTCCATTCCATTCCATCCCAAACCAATCCCAGAAGTGCGTCCGTCCAAACGTTTGTTTATTTTATTTTGCCGCACAATTTTGCCCCTTCTTCCTTGCCACCTCCTTCAACCCTTTCTCCGCTTTCTCCGCTCTCTCCGCACGCCCCCCCTGCGTCTTCTGTTTCGCCTTCTGCCGCTTGTTTCTTAAACAACAGCAACAACAATGGGCACAATGAAACCTCAGTCGAGGACCAGGCCAAAAAGGAGTAAGTCTCCTGGCCACTCGACCTGCAGAATGACCTTTATTTACTATGGTGTGTAAACAAACTGTAAGCAGTTAACTTTCGATATTTTCAATTTTTTAGTAGTTTCGGACCACATTCTCACATTTAGTTAGCTTAGTTTCTTGGCCATAAGTTCGTTTCGCGAATTAAAGCATTCGCATTTTGATATCAGCCGAAATTTCTCAACTGCTGCGCAACAGCCTATATGCCCCTGATACCCCTTGCTTCTGTTGTTCGTAGTGCAAAATGAAACAAAACAAATGAAACACAAAAAGGAGCAGAGGACCGAAACAGCGTCGGCAGAAAAGGATGCAAACGGAAAAAAAACACAAATGTGCACATGCTTCGTTGCCTGGAGTGCGCTATTTTGCACCTACGGGATTTTGTGCCTCACACAAACACACAAGCACACACACAAAGACACACTGGAACACTCGAACAGCGAAACACTGGAGCACACACACACATGCAAAGCGTGGAAAATCCATTCGAAATCAGTCAACGCGCCAAGGCTTTCATTCAGTTAGAAAGCAGACAGTAGACAGCAGACAAGCAAGGGCAGCGGGGGATTTTCGGGTTCTTTGGAAGGGGTTTGGGTGGGGGTAATGGGCGGTGGGCTTGGGGGAGGTTTTCAGGAGGCTCTCCTTTTTTTTTGGAGCATGGGGCCCGAGCTCCAGCTGGAAGCGGAAGTGCGGCTTGATTTACTCAACTCGTTTGCTCGCTCGTTTGTTTCCAACTGCTGCAAACATATTTTTGTGCAGCACCCGGCTAAAATATTTATTAGCCCTTAAACAAACGGAATAGATGTGCGGCCCCATGCAAAATCGGCTCCTGCCGATCGGCCATACATGCGGGCCAACTTAAAGACTTTCCAGCCAAATGGCCCGGAAAACAAACTACCATCTTCCGCCCAAAAAAAAGAAGGAAAAAGCAAACATGCTCCCCGTTTATTAAAGCATTTCTTACGCATCATTTGTTGCTTGGCCAACAAAAAAGCAGAGTGGAATGCCCAAAGAAAAGCCAGTGGAAGGCCGGAAAATGCTGATGAAACACAACTTGAAGTTTGATTAAGTGAAATCTCGTACGAATAGTGCGGATATCTAGGGCCAGAGCAGAGCGATCACGTCCTCGTGCGAAATGCATCAATCAAAATCGAAAATAAAGCAAAAGCACGCCCTTAATTGGGTCGGGAGACAGGAAGAGGAATTAGGTAAATCGCCAAATTAATTGTGAGCAGGCAGCACCAGCAAGGCAAAGAAAACGCAAGACCAAGTCCAAACCAAGTCCAAGTCCAAGTCCAAATCCACACAATGCCGGGTCAATGGACCGAACTGAACTGAACTGAATGAAAAGCTGGCTAAAAGGGGAGAGTTCCTCTGGCCGGAATAAGCAAACGAAAGCGCAAAAAGTGAATGGGCGGCTGAAGACACACAGAAGAGGGAAAAGATTAGGGTATCGTAGGATACCCTATTCAGTATATTTAAATACGCATATATCATGTAGAACTGCCGGACCTTTAAGCCAGACAAAGCAATGCGGTAACGAGTGAAGGAAAGTAACCATATTGGTATATAACATGGCAATTAAGCCCGTCGTGCCCCATCAAAGTAGCCCATTCCAAAGTAGCTAATTCCGGATCCCACACGTGCCGAAGCCTTCCCATTTCGAAATGTCCCATCGTGCATTGGGGCTGAGCCAGCAGCAGCTCAAAAACCTGGACTTGATAGTGGGCCACATGCACAGCGGCAAGTACAAAAAGGCTTCCCGATTGATAGATAGGACCAGCCTTTCCCGGCACCCATTCAATCCGTTCCACGAGACCATTCTGCGCAGGACACTGGAGCTTCTCATTGATCCGAGGTCCGAGAGGAAACGCAGCCTGCCAAACATGCCTAACATGACCGAAAGCGACATGACCAAGTGGCTCAACCAGCTGAAACTGGAGCAAATCATGCTCACCCGCATGGGAATGACCGCCCAGTCGCTGGACAGCATCTTCGAGGACATTGTGGAGCACAGCAGCGAGGAGCTGCTCCTCTACATTCGGTACGCGCGTGTGGTCACTCTCTCCATCCAGCTGAATATGCAGCTGTTCCACCAACACTGCTCCAGGGCCAAGGTGGCGGCAGATAAGATCGCCAGCTTGGGATCCACCGAGGGGATCAGCTTTGACATGGGCGCCCGCTATGCGGTCATTGTCGTGCTCGTGATCATCCTCGCGGCCATCTTTTTTGAAGATTTCGAGATGCGCGAGCCTGTTTCCTAGCTGCTTCCTTTGTGTTTGGTTTGTGTTTGGTTTGTGTTTGCTTACAAATTGGTTGGACGTTCAGAAATTGCAATATATTTTGTTTCTGTAAGGTTATGTTCTTATCACTGATTTGGCAATTGAATGGAAATGCCAGCGGAAACAAGGCCACCCATTAATTTGGTGTTCCAAGGCCTCGTACGCGTAACCGGATATAATTAAGCCTATCGGACAGAGCTGTTGGCCAAACTCCAATCAAACACTCGCCCAAATTAGTAGCGTTTCTGCCAATTGCCAGTGGTTAAAAGGGGGCGAACCAAAAAGAAGGTAGTCACACAATTGTGCCATTGCCCGCAAAAGTAGGCAAGCGATTTTGTGCTTCAATTAAATTTGATTTGCTGCCTCTCAGTGGAATGAAATGGTAAACTGGGGATGGCCATATCATCGCAGTGCCCTAATGAAGCTGTGCGACATCCATGTATGCGCAATTTGATAAGCACCGCCTTTGAATCCCTTTACCCATCATTAGGTTCGCAGTTTGTGGACCTTTTTTGCGCTCGCTTGCCACAAATTTAGTGCCATGTGTGTGTGTGGCTGGGGTTGCTGGCCACTGGGATCCTGTGATCCTGTGAATCAGGACTCTGCGTGTCCTGTGCAGCACCCCTTGGCCCGTTTTTGGCCATTACCTTTGGCAGTTGCGCCTGGAAATGACATTTTCACATCATTTGCTGATGTGGCAAATGTCTGGCTCTCCAGCTCTTCGGCTCTTCGGCTCTTCAGCTGTTTAGCTCTGGGGCCTTTTGCCAGTGTGTCCCTGTATCGCTTCTCTCTGTGTAGCCAGAAACTCACAAAAACGCCCAAATCGCTCTTAACCCTCCGTAACCCTCGTTGACCTGCGGTCAGCATTGAGTGCTCGACTCAACCCGCCCACGTTTCGTACGTTTTTTGTCATTTCCGTTTGTGCGAAATTTTCGGATATCCTCAAATGCAGCCTCACCCAGTGGGCACTGAACCACAGCCACCGCATTCACATAACTTGCACAATTTG